GGTTTTTGGAATTGAAGAGTCGCCACCTAATGATAGAGTGCATTAGGACACTAAGAAGGGTTTTGAATTGGAAAATCAGAGTTCGGGTAAGGGCTAGAAATTATCTCAAAGGGAAGGTGTTAGGCACCCCTCAAGATCCACTAGTGTGGTTCCCGGCCATGCTATGTTGTGACTTTAATGTAAACAAGTATGCAAATAAATTTACACATAAGGGTTGCTAACAAGCATGTTGGAATTTATAAACAAAGAAGGAAAGGGGATAATGCAGTAAAAAAAAATAAAGGGGAGTTTTGGGTAATTGAAAAGACAGAATTTATTGATATTAAACAAAGTAACATAGGGCAAGGGGTCCTAGGTTTATAAATCACATGGATCATCCACACAACACCGGTAACCAATCGTACGCGTAGTGTTATCTTGTGATCATCATCTCCATGCCTACCCTTCCCACCCCGATAAGGTATTAAGCGCGAAATAGTGTCGTTACCTACAGCATGCTATTACACGTCCCACCTATCAGTCCTGGAGGCTTTAGGACCACTAATCCTAAAGGGACGGAGCTTGGCTTTTCAGAGGTTCAAAAGGTTAAAATACTAAGGCGCCAGGCAAAACACATAAAACAATTATGGGAGCACAAAAGCAATTAAGGCTCAGACAAACCTCCTTTAATCACAGAAATCATGTAGTTTAGCACGTCTTACACATACTGATTAGGTCCAAATTATGCTTAACGTTAGGCAGGCTGGTTCATCACATATTTTTAGACAAGAAGTTTGCATTAGGCTCGCCTGGCTGCAACTTATTGAAGACTGGTGCAATTAATTAACTACTTACTTGTTCCCTAAGTGATGGCATCTACTGGTTTCAGGAATAAGGAAGTGAAATGATTACTGAAAGTTGCCAGTTCTAACAGAATGATACGAGTTCTGCATTTGGTTACTACTGACGGACTAATCTTAAAACGAGTGATTCAGATTGGGTTAATAGCTCCTATAGGCATGCTTTCTAGCGTTGTTAATATTAAACACCTTTTACAAGCGTAACAAGAACGCAGAAAATCCTACGAGCATGGTATCTAGGATGCAATTGATTATTATTTTGACCTACAACTGTTTGCCTAATGATAGATACAAAAATACAGAATCTTAAAGACATGGTTCCTACATGCGGAATTCTTATGAGCAGGATATCTATATGATATGCAGAGTTCTTATGAGCATGATTTCTATATATATGAAAGTGCAGAATTCTTATGAGCATGATTTTTACAGATAAAAGTGCAGAAATAAGCATGATTTCTATATGTGAAAGTGCAGAAATTCAAAGAAAAACTCCTATAGGCAGGATATCTACCCTTATGCATACACAGATAACCCTCCCCTTTTTACTAAAACCCCATAAGTTATTCAAAATTTATTACAGACCAAATGAATCAAACAGAAAATAAAATTACATCAGAGCTTTTAAGCTGCATCCGAGGAACCTAATTCAGACCCAAGGTCTAACAATATGATATGAGCCAACTGCCGGGATCAAGTTCCAAGGCCTTTCCCTTATCTGGAATGTGTCAAAGTTCCAAGGAGTTTCAAGAAATCCAGGCAATGCTTACACCCAGATATCATTACAGAACTGAATTAAAGTGCAGTGTGGAAGGGCCAGCCCTCCAATGTCCAAGTTCAGAGGGAACTCAAGGTCCCAAAGCAAGGCTCATTGGAGGGGGCAGAACTTAGAATCTAGGAACAAGTGTAAGTGCAATAGAGGGGATTAAGGGATGCTAAGGCAGGCTGGTGGTCATGCCCAGCAACATAGAATGCTGGCACACCCCTGACCAGCCCACTAGCCAAACATTGGAGAGTCAGGACCTATTGAAGGTCAAACCATGGCCTCGGCAGTAATTGGGATACTGTCAGGCTAAGGTTTTAACTCGACACATAAAGAGGATTAGGGGTAGGGATTCATATGAGAACAGAAGCAAAGAAAGGAAAAATACTTAGCATAAGTTACGAAGCATGAACAGCAAACCACACAAAAGAATGAGACTACAGAATAAACACATAGGGATGAGGCAAAAGTTTAAATAAAGGCATACCAGTTTCAGAAAGAGACAAGCAAAAGAGAGCAGAAATCTTGCAAAGAAGCCACAGCACAAACAGCAAGAGAGAATACTCTGTGTGTGAGTGTGAGTGCAGAAAAGACTCCAGTGTTCGTGTTTTTGTGTTGTGTTGGGTGTTAATAAAAGAGCAGGTATTTATAATGTGAGAAACATGCAGAAATAAGGTAAGGACTGTAATTCAGACATAATTGGAGGAATATGTGTCTTATTAAAATCAAATCAGTATCAAAGACTTCCTTTAATAAAGCAATTAAGTGAAACGGTAGCATGCAAGTGTTAAATAAGGAAAGAAATCACGCAGGGCTGGAC